CGAGCCAATAAATGCAGTAATAAGACCACTTGTGACGTGAGTGGTTGCGGAGGTGGACATCACAAGTTACTTCACATCGTCAAGAGAGTCATAAGCACACAGCATGAACCAATTGGTGAGGATAACTGCGGAGCAACTAGACTTCGGACCAATAATGTGAGTCTGGGATTATTTCTGGTCCAAATAAAAGCTGGATTAAAAGAGATTATCGGGTATGCCCTGCTAGATCATGGATCAGATACGACGCTTATTAAGGCGAGTGCACTACTTCAGTTGGGGTTAAACCAACAAAGAAACCATTCAAAAATAACCACAATGAGTGGATCAATGGAGGCAAACTTTGTCAGCAGTGCTTTTCAGGTATTGCCTCTAAATAAAGCAGAATCAGTATGTGTGGAGCAAGCTGTTGTTATAAAAGAATTGTCCGTTCATAAGCCGGTTAGAGACATCTCCGAAGGGATGAAAAAATGGTCGCATTTGGCAGACCTTCCAGTAGAAAACTTTGATGGAGAAGTTTTACTGTTAATTGGGTGTGATATACCGGAGGCGCACTGGGTACTCGATCAAAGGCTCGGTGGTCGAAAGAATCCTCATGCAGTTCAGACGCTATTAGGTTGAGTGATTTTCGGACCTTCAAGCTTCGNGCTCCATTTGGCAGACCTTCCGGTAGAATACTTTGATGGAGAAGTTCTGCTATTAATTGGGTGCGATATACCGGAGGCGCATTGAGTACTCGACCAAAGTCTCGGCTGTCAAAAGAATCCTTATTCAGTTCGGACGCTATAAGTTGGGTGGTTTTCGGACCTTCAAGTTTCGCTTCGTATGAAATGAAATTGGTCAACTGCTTGGCTGCAGATGACTCAAATTTAATGCATCAGGTAATGCGAATGTACGATGAAGAATTTACAGACGCCCAGTTATTAGATCAAGGCGTTTCCGTAGACGATACGGAGGCTATCGCTATTCTAGAGTCCAGTACAATATTCGTCAATGGGCACTTCGTGGTCCCTCTGCCGTGGAAGAAGAGTGTCAATACCGGTATGGGAAACTATGCGTCAGTGCTCTCGAGGTTAAACAGCCTGAAGCGGCGCTTAATTAATGACGAGGCGCCACGGTTCCGTTACGTACAAACGATGAAGACGACTATAGAGAAGGGATATGCCGTGCCAGTCCCAGGGGAACAGTTACACTGCGACTTTCATCCGCGTTGGTACCTGCCTCATCATGCAGTACTCAACCCAAAAAAGCCGGAAAAGCTGCGTATATTTTTGGGTTATGCGTCCAAACACAAGGGGCAATCGTTGAATGACATGCTCTATCAAGGTCTAGACACCACCGTGAATTTAGTGGGTATACATGTGAGATTCCGTAAAGAATGTGTAGCTGTTACAGCTGACATAGAAGAGATGTTTATTCAAGTGAAGGTTGCAAAACATGATGGAGGCGCTTTGAGGTTTCTCTGGTGGCCACAGGGTGACCCACTCAAGGATCCCGAGGAATATCAAATGACATCTCACCAGTTTGGTGCAACTTCTTCGCCGTTTTGTGCTGCTTTTGTCTTGAACAGGGCTGCAAGAGAATTCGGTAGTGTTTATGGGCGTGCGGTGCTAAAAGCCATGGAAGAAAACTTCTACGTTGATGACTGTTTTGCATCGTTCACGACATGTGATGAAACCTTACGTTTTGCGATGGAAATAACCGAACTATTGGGAAGAGGTGGTTTTAAACTGAGGTAATCATCTAATTCACCCGAACTTGCAGAATCCCTCTCGGAAGACAGCACGAGTACCGACCTGGTTCAACTGCCTTAATTTGATTTCGGTTGTCAGAGAGCTTTGGGCATGCAGTAGGACACAACAAGAGATGTTTTTACGTTCCAGTTCCAGCTACTAGATAAGCCGGTGACAAGAAGAGGTATATTATCCAGCGTCAGTTCGTGGTTTGACCCGCTAGGTCTGGTAGCCCCTCTGTGCCTCCCAGCAAAGCAGTTGCTGCAAACATTGTGTAAATCCAAAATGGGTTGGGACCAACCTTTCATTGCTGTAGATGCCAGTATTTGGGAAAGCTGGGTACGCTTTGTTAGGTGTCTGGAAGTGATTAAGATCCCAAGAAGTATTAGAAACGAAGATTGGGGTGAAGGAGGGAGAACAGAGTTGCAGGTTTTCTGTGATGCATCCGAGACAGGTTATGGGGCCCTCGCCTACGCGTGGTGCGTTCCAGCAAGAAAACCGGCTTACAGCGTTTTGCTTTTCAGAAAGTCTCGAGTGGCACCTATCAAACCCGTAACCATACCGCAACTGAAACTGTCTTCGTCAGTCCTCGGAATCAAGATAGGAGAGTTGATTAAAAGGGCTCTTTCGGAGATGTTCAGCGAGGTGTGATACTTGACGGATTCAATGATTGTCAAATATTATATAGAAAATACTTCAACACGTTTTAGTACATTCGTTACCAATCCGTTAGCAATCATCCATCAGTACTCCGCGGTGTCCCAGTGGCGTCATATTCGGTCCGAACAAAATATCGCTGACCTTACTTCTAGAGGTATATCAACAAAAAGAGAACTAGAGACATGATCAGAGGGGCCGATGTTCTTTCAGAGTTATATTCCACAGGCATTATCTCCATTATCGTCCCCACCGGATGGCGTGCAGATGAAGAAAATTGTAGCACACGTGAACACAGCTATTTTGTCGATAAAACTAGAACAGCTTCTGCATTGTTACTCTCAATGGTCAAAACTTTTGAAGTCAGTTGCATAGATTATTCGTTTCATCTCTTACATTAGAATTATGTATTCGTCGAGAAACGAAAGTACCTTGAGCGTAGGAAACCTCACGATCGAAGAAATCAACGCAGCTCGATGGAATATTTTAAGAATGATGCAGAACAAAACATTCGGTGAATCAACATTACAGGCAAAAAATCAAGAAGCACGAAACGGAGACATGGTGCATTCCTTGAGGAAGCTTTATCCAGTTACGATAGGTGACTTGCTTTGTGTAGGTGGCCGACTTAGTTATTCAAACTACTCATCCCATTTCAAGCATCCGGTGATCCTACCCAATCAACATCATGTGACTGATCTTATTATTCGCCACTATCATAGCAGAGAAGGACATAGTGGTGCGTCACACGTTTTGTCAGCGATCCGTGAAAAATATTGGATTTTCATGGGAATCAGTGCGGTGAAGCGAGTCATAGGTCAATGCATAGTATGTCGGAAAATGGTAACTTCTGCAGGTCAGCAGATGACGGCTCCCCTACCGCTAAGTAGGGTCCAAAAGTGTTGGTACTGTTTTAACTCAGTAGGAGTTGATTATTTTGGACCTCTGTTTGTTCGCAAGGGTAGTGGTTCGGAAAAGAAGTATGACTGCGTATTTACGTGTTTACAGACCCCAGCCTTGCACTTTGAGATAGCGGGCAGTCTCAATAAGGATTCTTTCATCTTGTGTCTATTGAGATTCATCGGTAGACGAGGAATACCTTCAGAGATTTATGGTGATAACGGATCAACTTTCGTGGGTGCCGTATCAGAACTGAAGGATACAATTAAACGCTGGAATGGACACAAGATTAATGGCCGTCTTGCATGTGATGGAATAAAATGGTTCTTTAACTCTCCTTCCTCAAGTCATAGGGGAGGCGTATGGGAGAGAATGATCCGCTCCGTGCACAGGTTACTGCTTTTGTTGACAAAGGAGCAGTTAATGCATGAGGAAACGTTGTCAACTTGTTTTGTAGAAATCGAAAGTATATTGAATAGCCAACCGGTAGTGCCATGCTTATCGGATGATAAGGAAAGAAGAGCACTGTCTCCGAACAGTTTACTGTTGTTGACGGAGAACGATCAAAACGTAGAAGGTCTCACAATGATGGAGAGTTATACAAGACGGTGCAGACAAGTCAATCACTTTTCTAATAACTTCTAGCGTCGGTGGATGAGGGAGTACACACCAACCTTGCAAATGCGACAAAAGTGGCTTTCGAAGCATCGCAATTTCAAATCAGGCGACATCGTATTGATGGCATCTGAAATCACAACACGTGGCAAATGGCCCATGGGCATCATTAATGCTGTGGAGACAGACGGAGATGGACTCGTGCGAATGGCTGTGGTGCATACGGTTGGCGGGAAGATAAGAAGATAAGATAAGATGTACGTCGACTGTGTCCATAAGAAGAAGCCGACTAGCACTTAGGTGATAGGCTAGGGGTGTGCAGGCGTACTGCTGTAAGTCCTGTACATCCCAAGGGAAGGGAGGTAGCAGGCGTACTGCTGTAAGTCCTGTGAACTCCATTGTTTTGGGAGCGTAAGTAGAAGGGGGAGCCAGAACAAGAGACTATCAGAGGTGTTATTGTCCGCTCGGAGGAATTTTGGTGGTGTAACAGTCAAAAAGACTGAAAATTCCTCTCAATTACCTTGCATTTCCTTATCTTTCTTCGCCATTCTATCGTGCATTTTTTCCGACAATGGTTTTTATGTCGGTGAATTTTCTCTTCTGGACCTTCTATTTCACCTTTTTTTCGATGAAGCATATCTGTTGGACACACTTCAAGTGCTTTGCTCTTACATGTAAATGATTTTACTTGTTTTATTTCGACCAAAGTTTCAATTGGACGCTCTTGTTGAACTAACCGTTGCTTTCGGTTATATTGAATCCCTTTTGGCTGTAACGCTCAAGATTATTTTGCTTGACCTGTTGGAGCTTGCAGAATTTTCCTATTGGTCCAGAATTATCGGAAAGATAATTGAAATCATTCATTTTGTTATTTACTTTTTCTTACCGCAGATATTTTCTGTGAATATTTGTAACATTTCGGCTGGATAGTGAATCAGGCTCACTATCAGAGGTATGACTGCCTTATGTTTTTGTGATTAATGCAAAAATAGTACCGTAGATTATTTTTGGATCGACTTGGTTCTCGATAATTTGGGCTACGCGTTGGTCTGAGATTTGTTTATCGCTTTCCAGAACAAGCGAGCGATCATTTGATTGGACGCGTACAGACGGGGTCCTTTTCGTTTCGCTCGGACCAGGACACGGGCGTTTTGGTTGTTGCACAGACTGCTGAGACAGGATTTGCCCTTCAGAAACCGATGCTGTGCCGCAGTCAGCCGCCGGTCTTGAGTGAGCTATTTGCCTTAGTGGGTTCTGTTCATTCCATTTAGGGGTTTGCACAACATTCATTTGAGACTTACTGCATGGTTATTTTCTACTTTTTGTCTCGACCCGGTCTTGGGCCTAGCAACCACTATGGGCGTTTTCCAATATTGTTTGTTTGCCCTGCTGTAGAGTTTTATTTTACAGGTATCAATGTGGGCCCCCAGTACCTTGGTACTTTCCGCATCAGTATGTAGGCTACTGAACTGGTACGGCATACATGGCCTTGCTCCATTATCGACATCGACGGTGACACATTGCGTCCTTGGTGAGTTATTACATTTCGCTAGAATTGTGTTTATAATATGCACGATGAAAGCCCTAACACATTAGATACTTTTATTTCAGATGTTGTTATCAAGCTTCAATACTCGGGGTACTCTCGTGAGGATGACGGCAGGATCATGAAACGTTTTTTTTCAAAGAAACCAATGAGCATGATTCGTTATAACCGTCTTAGCTATTTTTATAATTTATTGACATTAAATATATGTATTAGAATGCTCCTGTTTATTTTTGTTCCATAACGTACTGAGTACGTATGTAAACAAGAAGATGTGTCACTGCGTGATCAGTAATAAGGTGAGTTAGAAATGACAGGTTTCTTTACGCATTCATGAGTGAAATGCGGCAAATTGCAACGTCAGGTAGCGAATTCCTACGTAAACCAGCAGCACATTAGGTCGTTCGGGTAGCGTTCTGGTAGTCGAATTGTAGCGATCTGTATCAAAAATGACTACAAAATCTGTGAAGTTATAGCGATCTGGTAGCATCTCAGTAGCGGTATAGTAGCACCTCAGTAGTTCGAATAATGTTTTCGCCAGCAGGGCTCCGCTTTGTTATACTGTGGCCGGTCGGATACTCTCTGCGCCAACGGATTTGGTAGCAGTGAGCTCACCAAATGTTCCACGCACTTGTTCCATTCATAACTGTAAGGATGCCTGGTTGAGAGATTCGAAGTTCAGACTGTCCTGTGGCGATTGGGTCCGCCCTATGTAGGCTTCTAAATGAGTCTTCAAATTTTAGTTCAGTCCAGTCTTCACAGGAAGAATAATGGCCCTTGCTAATCGAGCGTCCAGATTATTGTGTTGTCAGCGGGTGTTCTTGGCTCCCAAAACTGTGTTTTCTGAGTTTCTTTAACCATGTGTTCTCAGTTAAGCATTATTGGTGAGAGACGTTAGTTTTCTGAAACAGACCAATTTCATGTGCAATTAAAAGGCCCAATTCCATAGTGCGGGGCTGCAATTTACCAGGCTCTTAGTGACGATACATCACCACCTAACTTTAGGGAACGCATCCGGCCAACACGCATCCAGTGCCGCCTTGAAGTTGTGCACATTGGTGCAGTTGACCACTNTTGACCACTCCCCCGGGTAACCTGTTCCACTTTGGTATGGCCCTATTTGCGAAGAAGTTGGCCCGGGCCTCTAACCTGGCATGGTTCTGTTGCAGCTTGAAGCTGTGACCCCTCGCGTTTTGAACACGAGAAGCAGTAAACAAGTCATCTCCATGGAGTCCTGATAGCCGTTTGACTATTTTAAAGGTCTCTATCAGGTCTCCTCACAGTCGTCTATGTTCCAATGAAAAGAGATTTAGGTCTCTCAATCACTGTTTATATCTTTGTCCCTTTTGCCCAGCTACCATTCGGGTAGCAAGTCGTTGCACCTTCGCGAGGCATGCTATATCCTTNTGGTGCCCATACCTGAACAGTATCCTAAGTGGGGGCGAACTACTGCCTTGTAGATAGGTATAAAGACCTCTGCGTTTCTACATGTAAAGGCAGCACACAACCTGAAGAGCTCACCACGAGCCTTATCGGCTGCATGCAGACATTACGTTTCAAACTCTTCGTGAGAATGACTCTTAAGTCCTTAACTGCATCCGTGGGCTGCAGTGTCAGCTGCCCATACGGTATCGGCTCTTGCGGTTGAGACCTGGCACTTTTCGAGATTTAGTGGTAAGTCCCACTGGAGTGACCATTGTCTAACCGCTTCTACATCACACTCTAGATTTGCTCCGGCTAATTTCACATCGTCCGCGAACAGGGATTTTAGAGATCCCGTGTCAAATCGTTTATGTAAATGATTCTTGAGGCACCCCGCTTGTTACTCTTGCAGGTCGGCTCATATAGTCGCCAACCTTCACACAGAACATGCGATGACTGAGGACCTGAACCAACCAATTTTTCACTATCCCATATAATCCTGCATCTCATAGCTTGATTTCTAGCAACTTATGGCTGACTGTGTCAAAGGCTTTGCAGAATTCCAGGTAGCAGACTTCAACCTGCTGACCTTCATCCAGCCTTCTAGTAGCCTCATCCAAAAAGGTGAGCAGGTTAGTCAGGCACGATTTTCTTTCAGTAAACCCATGCTGCGCTGGTGCCAAGAGGTTGTGGGCGGTTGGGTGCTGACATACTTGCCCCCTGATAATCCGTTCCAATCACTTGCACAGAACCGATGTCAGGCTAACTGGTCGGTGGTTGCTCACCTTATGCCTAGGTCCTGACTTGTACAGAGCAACAACAGTTGCCTTACGCCGGTCCTTTGGTAATACCCCCGTCCTCAGGGATTGCTCAGAGAGGATGGTTAGCGGATGTGCCAGAAGCCCTGATAGTGGTCGAACTATAGCATGGTGTATTCCATCCGGCCCTGCAGCCTTATGTCGATTTAGTGACGCGAGTTCTCTGGCTACATCACTCTCGTTGATGGTTATTTCCCTAATCGTTGGTGTATCCAACCGCGGTGCAGTTGACTCCACAACATCCCTTTGCACTGGTTGACGATATATACTCCTGAAGAAGGCTTAAAGGGTGGTTTCCTTGTCTTGGTCTGATGTGGCCAAGCTACTTCCACTCATCTCCAAGGTGCCCACACTTTCTTTTATATTTTTGTTGGCTTACACGTAGGCATAAAACCTTTTACGATTATGCTTGATGTGCTGCGCGAGGCTTCTTTTGTAGATATATTTTCCCTCTCGTTGTAAAGCCTGTGCCTTATTACGAGCCTTGTATTGACACCATGCCTGATGCGTGTCATACATTCGATAGTTTGCCCAACATCGTCTACGTGTTTTCAGTGCCCTATTTAGCTTGGGCCGCCACCACACTGGCCTGTGGTTTCCACGCCTGGGACGTAAGGGAGCAAACTCGCCCATAAGCCGGCATACACCTACTCGGATTTTATGCCGTCTCTCTTCCACTGTGGTCTCCGGGGATTCTGGTGTCCAGATGATCTGCTCCGCTGCTTCACGCGAGGCCACCTTATTTATACGACTATAGCATCGTACCAATGAGGCTTCTGGCTTTCTGTGCTTTTCTGTGAGTAGGAATTTCAACACTAGATAATCACTTTTGCCCAGTAGTTCATCTTGTTTTATTTCGCTTACATCCGACGAGTATATGGTTATGACTAGGTCCAAGATGGACGGCCTCTGTTGATCCCTGACACTTGTGGCCTGCGTAATCTGTTGTCAGCGCGTTAGTGTATCCATTCTAGTAGAGTTTTACCTGTAAACCCACTCGTTGCACGTGCTTCCACCCAGTCGATCTCCGGGAGGTTGAAGTCTCAACTATTAGAACCCTTTGGGACTT